TATGAACCTAGGAGAAAGACAAAAAAGAAAGCTTCTTCTATATCGCTCTCTCTCTCTTGCTCGCCCGCTTGTTTGCTCCCTCCCTCTCTCTTCATTATTACTTTTATTTATTGAAACACAGATAGTCCATTGATCCAAGCCACAGAACTAGACAGTGTTGTCTTACCAGCTCCACTGAGACCCTAAAATAGGTAGAGTCAATAAGGGGTAGGGTCTGTAGTAGACCACACCTACCTGTTGCAGTTTGAAGATCCTGTCGATACAAAGGACATGATCAAGGACTTCGTAAAAGGGAACAAGAAGAACGTCTAGCTCTTCCTCATAGAAAACCTTTAATCTGGCCTGTACATAATCACGTAATTCTTCCTGATCTACTGGTAGATAATCCTATAGAGAATGAAAGGTGAATATATACATGTACATGTATATATTAAAATGTACAAATGTACATATAGACCTAACCAAATTTCAGAACAATTTATAGCGTATAGCAATATATTTATGGCTCAAAATTTTAGTAAATTTTCCAAAAAATAAGAATTTTGAAGACTTAAATTTTTTTTACAAATTTTCTACTTTTTAGTCATACATGTATTTAATTAGTTTTTATGAATTAGCTCCATGATTAGAAATGTTGGGCAAAAGTTTTTTGCTCTATGGCAGGCCATACAAAGTGATGTTACTACTGCTTTTACAAATAATTAAGTCAAAATATAATTCACAATACCTGCAGTAGGCACAGCACCAAACAGGTACAAGTAATGAAGTTGACAAACAAAATAGAATAAAATGCACGCATCTCCATATAATGTGTGTGTGTGTAGTTTCAGTGCTTGTAACTTGTAATCTACATCAGTTTGTTGATATCAGTACATGACACACTATACACTAATACCCACCATACACTAACTATATACTATGATAACTACTTGTAGCTTAAGGCTGGTTTACAATATTAGGATAGGCTTGACGTTATGTTGACCCTAGAATAGAATCTGGTTCTATTCTAGCAGAAAGCATGCATCAAAAGGTCAAACTGCCCATGGTTTTGATTGAAAATTGAGGGTATACTGGTCTAACATCATACTGCAAATCCACACCTTTACATATACATGTAGCTCATGTGTAGTGCATGTATAGTTTATCTTGGTGAGCTAAGTTTGTCAACTTGCACCTGTCCTATGCTATACATGTACTAATTTATTTAATTGTTTAAATTCCAGTTCCTATTATACCCACACGTACAGTCTAGTAAAATGTCAAAGATGTTCATCTTTATGTTGTTGTTGCTGTGTTTAACAGCTACCATTGATGAAGGACAAGGATCTCATTGTATGGCTGATTGTACTGGATATAAACATGAATCATCACTGTATATAAGAGTATGCTGTATCATTAGTAACTTAGGACAGACTATTCGTATGAGAGAAGGAAGAGTGAAGACTATCATGGTATGTCCTGATGTAAGGCCACAAGCTTGTCCACCAGGTAAATAAAGTATACTGCAAAAATTATTTCAAAACTAAAATTAGTTCTTACAGACTGTAAAGATTGGTATAACAATGGCAGCACTACTAGTGGCCTATATAACATTAATCCTGATGGAGGGACTCCTTTTACAGTTAGTTACAAATAATATGCTTCAAAATAATTATACACTATTGGGTCACAGGTATACTGTGATATGGAGACTGATGGTGGTGGATGGACTGTATTTCAGAGGAGACAAGATGGATCTGTTGATTTCTATAGGAACTGGACTGACTATGAGAATGGATTTGGTGGCCTTACTGGTGAGTTTTGGTTAGGATTGAGCAAGATTAATCATCTTACTAAAGAAGGATCAAACACACTAAGAGTGGACCTGGGAGACTTTGAGGGGAACACAGTTTATGCTAACTACTCTACATTCAGTGTTGGTAACAG